ACATGAAGCTGCAGGCATGTATGACTTCACCTGGAAAAATGTTCTATGATACAACTCTAAGGATGTTCAATATTTAATGGCCAGTTCAAAGCAGATGAACCTGCAAAGAAGACAGAGAAACAGAAATAGGAAAAGAAGAAGGAAATTGGGAGAATATCTCAAGAAGAAAACAATAGTGTGTCTTAAGGTGGAGGAAGTGGACAATGGTATTTTATGCTATTGTTAAGTAGGTCGTGAAAGTTGTATTCCTCACCAGTATGTAGCTATTTGAGGAAAGAGACTTAATCTCAAACTTCACTGCCTAACTTTTCTCTCAACATTAATACCTAGCACAATGCCTTACTTGGAGAAAAAATTTTAAATGCATTTATTGAATGAATGGACAAACATTAGGTGAACAAAATAAAAGACTCACATAGCATATAACATAATGAAGCCAAAGGTAGCTTAATATATATAAAGAAGGTATATAAATTTAAAACAAGGTTGCCTACAGTAAAAGCATAATAGAAACAAAAGTATAGTAGAAAGAAATACCTATAGCTCAGAATGGACTGTCCACAAATCAAGACACCGTGTTGTCATCATAAAAGAAAACGAGCAGTGTAGAATGAATGGACTGTTTACTCACACTGATTATACTACTTGATTTCGGTATGCAGTTATGATCTACTTAGCTAAGGAAGACCTAAAAATATTTGGAAATTTTAAAAAATATACAAGAAAATGAAGATTTTGAAAATAATAAGCATTATAACACAGCACAGTATAACTAAGATAGTACTCTTTCCTGAACATTTATATAAAAGCACAGTATGGTATCATAGTATTAACCTTGTGATTAATATATTCTCCAAATGCTTTAGTTTAATTTAATATGACATTAATTATCTTTTCTAAATCAACTCACATTGTTAGCCTATACTATTGCTAGGAACAGTACATTTTACTTATTACTTTGAAAATACATTTACTTTCCCTAAAGCAAACTCTTTTAAACTCTGTTCTAGAGATTCTAGGAAAACATGAAAAATTCTGTTTTTACCAATTTGTAAACTTCATAGTTTTCTCTAGTAATCCTATAGACAAATATATGATCCATATAACCATTTATGCATTTGTAACTCTTAAGTTATAATTTCATATCCTCCTTGCTCTATTTCTTCCTTCTCACCTACTTTTAAGTTATTATCTTCATATATTTAATACTATTTAAAGCTGACTGAAATCCTTTCTGAAATAATGCACAGGTATAAATAAACGAGCAAGTAGATGAATAAATTATTAAGATCCTTTGTAATATTAAGTATTTCGGTCACATATCCTCTAAGTTTCCACTTTTCAAAAATGAGAACTCTAAAATATTTTTAGTTTGTCATCATCTGACCCATGTATTTCCCGGAACAGTTTATTTTAGTTGCTAAAGTGAGAAATGGAGTTTTGAAAGATAACTTGGGGGTAAAAGACACACAGAAACAGCTGATATATGTGAGAAAAATAGAGGGAAAAGTGGAGATTTTAAAGGTCATAAGATGATGGTCTAGGAATTCCCATTTCAATGTTGGACAAATGCAAGTCAATAACTTGAGTAATTTTGAAATTACTTTTACTGCTGTCCTAAGTTCCTTTGACTATACCACTGCTCTGAACATGTCGAATCATCAATTATACAGATCACATCTTTCTAAACAGATTTATATGGACTCGTTGGAGAATAATTGTCAGAAAGTACTGCACTCAGTGTAGGGGAGGCTCATACTGTACCTGGTATAGAGAATTTAGAAAAGCAAAGGAGAGAACCAAAAGCATCCTGGGAGAGAAAACTATATAACTAAAAGAACTGAAGTTGATAATAAGCAATAAATAAAATTTAAAGGTATAAAATAATTGTGTCTTAAAAACAAGTGAGAAGACTGAGGGCTGAAGCAGAGAAGACTGTTGGGTGCTTCAGGAAATAAGCCAGGATAGACAGTGTCGGTGAAACAGAAGCTACTACGGGTTCTTGAGCAGAAGACTGATGTAATGAAAACAGTTATTTAAAGATGATAAATAATAGTAAGACAGACTAAGGTTGTTATAATGAGTTGGAAAGAAAGGATGGTTCTAAGAGAACTATGGAGGAAGAGGTAAATGAACATCACCACACTGAGAATATGCAAAGCAGCAGCTCAACATGCAAATCATTCTTAAGTTTCTGCCCTGGATGTGTTTAAAGAATAAGAGAAAAGACATCAGGAATGGAAAACAAGGGAAGAGTGGAAGGAAGGCTCAATCAAGGACATCATTTTGGGTTTCCAGTAATACAGTGGGTCACTTAAGAAACATAGGAAGCTGGACATATTGGGGTAAAGGCAAATGTTCAGAGCTAAAGATGCAGAGCTAGAAATATCTGTAGGGAGGTAATAGGGTAAGTTATGTGAACAAAAGAGCAATAAAACAATGGGGTTCTTTTTGCTTTTTTAAAACTTTTTAACTTAGTAAAATTAAACTGTTTTTATTATAGGAAATTTGGAAAATATAGAGAACCACACAGATAAAAATAAAAATAAAAATACTTTACAATCCTACCAAAGATAAAAACTATAAACTCTCTGGTATATATCCTTTTAACATTTGTTTTTTATGCATACATTTTTAATGCTATTTGTATAGGAATATGGCTCAATACTTCTCAATTGTATCCTACATCTCAATAAACATTCATCCTGTGGAAAACAGAGGTTCTCTTATCCTGTGAGTTTGGGGAATCGACATACAAGATTCCTCCCTTTGAGATAAACACTATACATTAGTATATCAGAACCCCCACAATTTTGAACCATAAAAATGACTTTATATAACGGATAACTGACGATTTAGATTTTTCACACATTCTTGTTAACATCACCCTGAACTGCTTTCCCCTTGAAAGATAGAGGTGTAGTTGTCAGAAGCTTGAACTTCAAAAGGTACCAACCCTAGATTCAAGTCTGCCTCCCAGCTTTGTTCTCTTCTTATTACTTTATTCTCCACGAAAGAAAAGGTTTAAAAGAGATAATGTACATGAAGCACTTGTTATGTTTGATATGCAGTTATCACTCTAAAAACTGGGCCAACTTTGATGATGTCATAATTACTAACCTGCAGTTTCCTCTTAACTATAGATCACAATTATTTGTCTTTAATATTTTTTAAAATCAGCTCTTTTAATGACTCCACACCGTATGGCTATCACATAATTGATTTGTCTAATTCCATACTGTGGAACATTTATTTCCATTTTTTTCTTTCACAAATAATGCTTCAGTGAACATCCTTTCACATAAAACTTTGCCAACAGTTCTAAGTAATTTCTTATGTTTGATTCCTGGATATGGAATTGCTAGATAAAGGGGCATAAATATTTTTAAGGTTTTTATACAGCTTGCTAAACTGCCCTCCAGAAAGCTTTTTTCAAATTACATTTCCAATATGAGTTGACTGGTCACCCCATGTTTTAATTTTTGTGTTAGGATAATAGTAGAGACTGGTTGCTACACAGAAGCAGAAAGAAAGAAAAGTCTTAATACATTTATAATTTCTTTAGGTACAGAAAAGTTAACTATAAGAAGTAGTTGTTTGAAAGATAAACCCATTTCCATGATGACTTCCCAGGCCTCCAGCTGGGCTGAATGGAACAAGCTTGGAGGTGAAAGTCTTATAGAGTGATATCTAATGGGGCATAACTCCGATGGTTATAGATTAAGATAAAAGCAGGTAATACAAATAGATTAAAGCAAATGTGAAAAAAACGTGGCAAACAAATATGTTTAGAAGTTTGGAACTGGTCAAAATGACATGGGATTTTTGCTTACCTGACTCTGAAAGATCCAGTTGTTTAATTTTTTTTTTCGATAATGAGTATTAAAGAGTTGGCTGTTTAATTCTCAATGACATAAGAGCATATTTACATGCAAGGTGACAGGGTATTGAGATGACAAGATATTGAGGGTATTCCATTTCCAGCAACCAATCATAAAGAATTAACCAGAAATCTTTTAAAAGTTTTATATGTAAGTGAAATTACAACAATACACGAGGGGCCTTGAAGGTAAGATCTATGTCTCACTGATCTTGGATACCTCATTACCTATATGGGGATAGGCACTTAACAGGTAAATCATATATGTTTGCTATATTTATAGAAACTTTGTGTATGGGGTTCTCATAACCTCAATTTAAGGGTAGGATTCTTAGTCCTCAAGAGAAAAATATAATTAGTCAATTTAAATGGTGAAATCATTGATGGTATATTTCCAAGATGAATCAAGAATGTACGGGGATTAACAATATCTCCTTTAGCTAGACATAATATATTTACTCACAGATACTAAGGAAAAATACTTTCCAATGATATGTTCAGCTAAGAATCAAACTGCCTTTTCACATAATGCTACAAAATGGAAGTACATTTGATGCTTTAAATGATTGTTCCTATATTTAAGTAAAGTTAATTAAATAACAAGTGAAATACCTACTCATAATCAATCCTTTTCATGACTCTACATTAGTCTACTAAATGGCTGTCCCATAACTGGTGTGTCTAATTCCACACTGTGGGACAGTTTTTCCCATGAGGCAGTTATTCCTGTTTCAGCTAATTCTAAGGCTCTGAGTTAGTTACATAAATTAACCCGTTTTGCTGTCTTTTTTTGAAAATTAGTTGGAGAACTGCCAAACTCCAGTCATGGGTCAAGAAGGATGAGTTTTAAAACAGCTAGGCAATTAGCTAAAATGGAACTAAATCCCAAAAACTCACATTTTCTACTACATCACTAAAGCTATAAGTTAGTGGAATAATTATAAGGCCTGTATCTTGGATTCTTGAGCTAAAAAAGATAAATAATATTCTTTACTTACTTGTGTATTGTAAAAGGTGAAGTTATTTTTATAAGATGCATTTACCTCCATGGATAAAAGTTTTCTTAAACTTTAAAAAGAATTATAGAATTATAGATAATATAACATTCACAGGTTCTCACCTGAGTATAGAAGGGTAAAAATGTGATATGCAAGAAAGCCAATGTAATGGTTGCTTGAAAAATGGTTTTAAGGAATCTGAAGGAGAATCATCCATGCCATGCTGAAAAGTCCTAAGGAAATACAAATAATTATTTCAGAATATATAGAAAACATTAAGATACTTTTTATTTTTACTTAGTACACAAAGGTAATGATTTTACACAAAATTGTATTGTGCTACAATGGACAATACGACCACTTCAACCACTTGAAATTTATGTCAAAAGGTGACTCAGAGGCCTCTATATAACAATTCTTACACTTGGAAAGGTATGATAATAACATTTTCACTTAATTAAAAAAACTCTCACATCATAAAATTTTTCAAAAATAAACGTATAAAGAATAGTATAATGAATACCACTTACCTCTCTCTCCTCAAGCTGTATCCAAGAAATGTCAATCTTTTGTCATATTTGCTTTGTTAATGTAAAAATATTTATCATAAAGGTACCTCTTTTTACTTTTTAAAGTTATTTATAAAAACCAAAAAATTAAGATTTATAATTAATTTTGTATGCTCCTAAAGGCCTACCAAAAGCTTATAAAAGAGAATTTAACTGTAAAATACATGACCACGATTTCAAAATTAGAATAATTTGGCCAGAATATCTGATGTACAATGATCTTTGGAGAAGTGACTATAGCATTTTTCTAGATTGGCCCAAACTCAACAATAAATCTTGAAGTAATAGGAAAGGATTTGTTACATAAAATCTTTAGTAGATAGCTTGGTTAATAAAGATATTATAATAACAGGACACTGTATTCGCCTACATGGCGTTAAGAGTGACAACTGGGAACGTCTTAGAAATGGAATTGTTTGAAGTGGTACAATCTCTCTTTATATAAAGTACAGAAGCAATAGCATCTTTTAGATAATATGTAGAATATAATTCCATTTTGAAGGATCATCCCTGTCTTTTTGTTTCACATCCTGCTTTTTGTAATCTCACATTTTCTATATTTGACCTCTTTCTCCCATTTTTCTTGCTAAATAGAACACTTTTTAATTAAATATGCTTATTTTTCAGACTTTTACTATATCATCTTCTCTTTGAAAGCCATTTTTTCTCATTAAATTTCAGAATAGAACAAAATTCCTTAAATAGTCTTCAAAATCAGGCTGTCATATACATTCCATGCATTCCACTGTATGAACTAGAGAGTTAGGCAGAAGCAAGTTTAGGATACTAGGATATGCTTTCCTAAGGAGAGTCTGGACTTTGTACCAGCCATGAGGAATCACTGAAGAGTTTATAGCATGGGAGTGATACCAGCAATTTTACATTTTAGAAAAATCACTCGAGCATAGTGATGAGAATAGCCTGAAGAGGATCAAGGCTGGAGGAAGAGAGATAAAAACGGTGATAATGCGGTAGACTGGGCAGAGGAGGACAAGGTCCTATGTAAGATGCAGAGGAAATCATGAATAGGAAACAGCTGCAAAAAAATTAAATTAACAGAATTAACAAATTCATCCCCTAATGACATGTGGTTGGAAATAGAATGAGCAGGAAGGCAGAAAGAAGAGTTAAGAGAAAAGAAGCCTAAGATGACTTGCAAGTATTTTCCTTAGTTTTAGATATGTTGTGGGAGATGCAGATAGTTGAAATACATCCAGAGAGAGACCTCGAATAGAAATTTGGATTTATTAATCTAGCATATACAAGAGACACCTGAGTTGAAGATATTGATGTGGAAGTCATTAGCATAATGGTAAAGTCGTGGGAATGTGTAAATTCACCCAAAGAATAAGTGTAAAATGAAAAGACAGTCAAGAGCAGAACTCTAGAACACATCAATATTTAAAGGATGAGGTGAGAAAAAGCACTCAAAACCAAGAACGAATAATCAGAGAAGTAGGCCAAGAGCCAGGAGAAATGGCTAATAGCATCAAAAGCTACAGAAATATTAAGGGAATGGAAAGGCAAAAATTGGAGTCAGTGATTGGGTATGCATACATAACCTGGCCCATGTTGTTTGTTTAGTATGATGAGGGCAGGTACAGTGTATTGAGTGAATAGTAGGTGTAAAAGTGGAGACAGTGAGTACAAACTGTGTTTTAGGAGAGAAAAACAGTGGTAAAGAAAGAACAAAATTTGTAATACAGGAGAGGCTTGGGGGAAAGAACCAGAAGATAGAATATTAAAAGACTAAGGTGGTGGAGTAGGACATAAATGTGGTCAAGAGCTCAGACAAAAAGGTTTGCTTTGGTTGGGAAAAGAGATACATTGATTGCCTATAAAATGATGTAGAGGTGAGTAGGGATCTGGATAATTATTAAGAATGGAAATGAGAAGTTAAAGTGCATTCATAATATTCTGGGTTTTCTCACAAAAGTACAAGGGCGAGGCTATCTGCTAACGGGCAAAATGGAGGATTTGGCCAAAGCAGAGAGGATGGAAAAGGGAGATACCCAGAGACTGGACAGAGTGGGATTGTCAAAAGGTGTAAAAGGACAGCTGAGTGATTTCCACCAGCAGTGTTCCACAGGCTGTAGGGGAGGGAGGTGAGGGT